AAAGTTGAAATGTGATAATTAATACGCAATCAGTATGGCCAAGGATCTAATACATCACGACAGAACAAAACATGTTACTATTAATAGATACTTTATATCAGAGAAAACAGAGAACTCATAAATTGAAGTAGTATATACCCCAACACATGAACAACTTGCTAATTTTTTAACAAAGGCACTACCAGACTCTCTATTTTATAAGTTTGTTTGTAAGTTAGGATTGTACAACCTGTACAACCTAACTTGAGGGGGAGTGTTGAATCACGTAACTAAGGCAATAATTCGAGGGCTGCAGTTGGAGATTTGTGGGCAACAATTTGAGGGATGCAGTTGGATATCTGTGGGCAGTAATCCAAACGCTATAATTGGAGATTTGTGGGTAGTAATCTGAGAGCTGCAGTTGGAGATCCGTGGTATATAATCATTATAATTAATTAGATTAAATGTCTTTTCTTTTTCTGTTTATTCTCCTAAAATGTATGTATATATATAGTAGAATTTGAATTTTCCTCTACGACTTGTTATTATCACTTTTTATAGGGCAATGTCATAATTTGTTGATTGCAATATTGGCATATAAAGTTTGGAGCCCATTTCCATCAAATGCAATATCTAAAAAAAAATAGTCATTAACAACCTATGGAAAGAATTTCAAATTAAGACTTTAGAAATAAGTTACAAACCAATACTTGAAAAATAATGAAACTGTGTATCTATTGTATCCATTATAATTCCTTAATTTTATCTGCATCCTATATTATATAATTTCCATTTTGTATGCAGCAATATTGTCATGAGATATCACAAACTTGGAATGAAAAGTTCAAAACCATTTTCATTTTGTTCGTGTGCTAAATTGAGTCTCCTTTTTTTCCTTGGGACATGTTTTCAATTTAATATTGTCTAGAAATAACTTTTAAACCATTATTGGAAGATTTTGAACATTATCTAAAACTTTTGAATTACTTTGAGAATTTTTTGTATTAGCCATACCACTATCTATATTAAGCATCTCATGATAACCACCAATTCGGCCTAGATGACAATAAAATATGACTATTCAAATAATATCCTATTGTAAACATGTTTCAATCTTATTATTAGTTTTTAACTTATGCAAGCTTATTTTATTACATATTGTTTTTTTCTAAACTATTTACATGATAGGCTGTCGAAGGCGGGGAATTTGAATTTTGTATCTGTGCCAAATTTGTTGTGAGAGTAGCTTTAATGGAGTTTAGAAATGAAATAGATACGTATCTTTTTAAGAGTGATAAAAGTTGAATTTTATTGATACTTGTAATAATGATAAGAAAGCTAGAAGTTTTGAAAGAGTGTAATGAGCAGAGTAGAAGTTATAGCCTTTGACGATTTATGTAATAGATTTCTTGCCAAGGATAAAGAAAATGTGATATATAAAATGGCTAAGGTAGAGATAAAATATCTAAATATTTTGATCAAATAAGAAAGATTAGAAGCAAAAATAGTAGACATTAGGAAAAAATGATGGCATCAAGGAAAGATGAAAGTATTCTTGAATGAGATTTTTAAGGAAATAATTTTTTTGGAAGTGCCTAATGAATAATATAATGGGATATATTATAGATTGATCTAAAAAGGTGATGTAGAGTTAGCTTTGAGAAAGATATATAAAGACAAGATTTTAGGTCTAGATGAGATATGTGATTTGGAGAGTAATGAGAGATATACGCGTAATTTGATCTATAATTCTTTCCAATTTGAAGAAAAGGTTGCCATCTGATTGGAGAATAATCATTTTGGTACCATTATTTAGCAATGAAAGAAATGTTTAAGATTTTGCTGACAAAGATTGAATCAAATTTATGAGTCATACAGTGTAGTTATAGGATAGAATAATGAAATACAGACTTAGGAAAAATTACATAAGTTTTGGAGAGTCAATTTTGATTTTGTGCCAATAAGATTTATTAAGGAAATGCTTTCTGTGTTACTAAAATCAATGGAAAAGTTTACCAAGCAGAGGAAATATCTTCATATTAGTTTTATTTTGTTAAGAAGGCATATGATCAAGTAATACAATAATTAATTTAGTGTACATTAAGAAAGAAAGGCACATGTTAAAGTTATATTAAAGTTATTAGAGATATACATTGATTAGTATTAGTTAGTGTTGGGGATGATTAGGAGTAAACACCACAATGATGAAACAAGCGAGAAAGTAAAAGCAGCGGGAAGTAAAGGACACCAGGATTTGACGTGGAAAAATTCAAAATAGAGAAAAAACCACGGAGTCACAACACCAAGAAATCCACTATAAAAATAGGGAGAAATAAGTACATATCTCTCTTCTCTTACACTCTCTCCTTCTCTTCTCACATGCCCAATTCTCACACTTACGCCTAATAAAAAAATACAAAGAGAAAGCTAAGTAAATAACCCCAAGGGACGTAACCCTTAAGAAAAACAAGAAAGAAACCGTTCAGTCTGTCTCGCAGCGCTAGTTTGAAGCACTGCGACACTTGAACCTCTGTCCTGATCCGCTGTAGTGTTGTATCTATCCCGCTGGGGCGTCTTGCTCTCTGTCATTCAGCATCGGGATGCTCGAGAACACAATACCGAGGCCCTCAGGTATGTAGTGCCAAGGCGCTCAGGTACATAGTGTCGGGGTGTTGTATGAAAAAAAAAATTCGGATCGGTCCTGGGGTTAAACCCCCGCACCACCTAGCAAACACGACAAACTTTAAGGTCCGAGACAACAGAATAATTGGATTGATCAACACAATTAGATTCCACGCGTAATAGTTAGTGCTTTTTGGAGCTATTTAAGAGTTTCAAGTTTAATAAGATTACTTAATTATCGACATTTATCTATATATTTTTTTGTTTGTTATTGATATGCTTACAATGGATATTAGAAATGAGGTGCAATTGTGTATATTTTTTGCTGATGGCATAATTCTAGTCGGTAATACATCTACTAAAATAATTGAAATAATTGAGTGTATTTATAAGATAAAGGGTTCATAATTAATTGAGCAAAGACGGAGTATGATATTTAATTTTAATGGATGTGATATTTATAATTATGATTTAATATTATTAGAAGATGATACCTATATGCAATAAGTTTAAGTGTCTTAGGTTTGATATAAAGAAAAGTTTAAGTATCTTAGGTTTAATATAAAGAAAAATGGAGACATAGATAAGGATATAACTTCTATAATTAAAGGTAAGTGGACAAAATGTAGAAGTCTCTTATTAGTATTATGTGATAAGAGGTGTATTATACAGACTTAAAGTTAAGTTTTATAATTGCAATTATGGATGCGAGTCATTGATTTTTAAGCGTGGAAAAAATTGTAATGATAAATTAAGAAATTATTACTTAGATGTGTGGTTGGAGTTGCATCTTTTGAAAATAGGGAAACTTAAAATATATGAAATTAGTTTGAATATGTGTAACAAAAGATAAAAAAATCACTCGTTAGACAAGTATATGAAATTAGTGTTAGAGTGTCATAAAGGAGAAGAGGTAGACTTTAGCATGAACCGTCTTAGGAGTATTATGTGATAAGAGGTGTATTATAGAGACTTAAAGTTAAGTTTTATAATTGCAATTATGGATGTGAGTCATTGATATTTAAGTGTGGACAATTTTTTTTATGATAAATTAATAAATGATAACTTTAGATACGCGGTTGGAGTGACATCTTTTGAAAACAGGGAAACTTAAATTGTACAAAATTAGTTTGAATATGTATAACAAAAGATTAAAAAAAATCACTCATTAGACAAGTATATAAAATTAGTGTTGAAGGGTTAGAAAGGAGAAGATTTAGATTTTAGGTAGCATGAATAGAAGTTGTTCAAAATGAATTGCCAAGATTAAGTTTAAAAACTCATTAAAACAAATGGAAAATGACACGCAATAAGAATGATTGGAAAATTTAGATTCATTAGGCGTATACCAAATAGTTGGGATAAGATATGATGATGATGATGATGATGATGATTTGTATTATAAAGATAAGTTTGAATAGAAGTTGTTCAAAATCAATTGCCAAGGCTAAGTTTAACAACTCATTAAAAACAAATGGAAAATGACACTATAAGAATGATTGGAAAGTGTAGATTCATTAACCATACGCCAAATAGTTGGGATAAGATATGATGATGATGATTTGTATTATAAATATAACATGAGAATGTGTTATTCTCTAAATTCTAGGATTGGATCTTTATAAAATATGACACATTTTTGTTTATTTCATTTTACTTGCGTGTTTCAAAGTTCTTAGCGAAATGAATATATGGTTTCCTTTTTTATTTTGTTTAAACTATTTTTTTGTACTCAAACGCTGGATTGCTTTTTATTTTATGACAATTTTATATCCATTGAAGTATTTCACAGTGCTCTTCTTGTTATTGCAATTTCCGACCTATCTTCATTAAAATGGTCTTTAGTTTTAATAAAATGATGTAAGGAGGGACAATTCCTTTTTTTTTTTTCAATTTGCACTAACATTTTGCTTAAATTTTAGGATTGAATCTGATTGTATATCATAAAAGTTTGTTGCATTTTTTTTTATTTCATTTTAGAGTGTTTCAAAGTTCGTATCAAATTTGATATGTGATTTCTTTTTTTAATTTTGCTTAAACCATCTTTTGGTAGTCAAACATTTGATTGCTTTTTTTATTATGACATTTAATTTTTCACAGTGCCCTTCTTGATAATGTAATTTCATGCTGCTGCTTTTTTTTCTTCCTATGTTCCTTTTAGTAATTAGTTACACTTGAAATAGCTGGCTTTCCAAGAGTTATTCTGATATAAAAATCATTGCTTAATTTTTGCTTTAATTAATCCCTTCAGCATTCAGAATGGCTGCTAACATTAGTATTGAAATTTTTTAGTTTTTCCTTACCCTTGAGGTGGATTCCCTTGAAACGCAGCTTTAAAAATGTGTTTTACTTGAAATAGAAGGCTAATCCATTTTGCCTTGAATTTTGGATATGTATAGGTTGCATCACAACTAAGGAGCTGGGAACTGTTATGAGATCACTGGGTCAAAACCCCACTGAAGCTGAACTGCAGGACATGATCAATGAGGTTGATGCTGATGGTAATGGAACCATTGATTTCCCAGAGTTCCTTAACCTTATGGCTCGCAAGATGAAAGACACCGATTCCGAGGAGGAGCTCAGAGAAGCTTTTCGAGTCTTCGACAAAGACCAGAATGGTTTCATCTCCGCTGCTGAGCTCCGCCATGTGATGACCAATCTTGGCGAGAAACTCACTGATGAGGAGGTTGATGAGATGATCCGTGAGGCTGATGTCGATGGCGACGGCCAAATAAACTACGATGAGTTCGTCAAGGTTATGATGGCCAAGTGAGGAACTGATCTCTATTTAAGACCTTTTTAAAAATATAAAAAGCAAAAAATGAAGTAAAAGATAACTAATACTTCTAAATTTCCTGATTTGTAGGTAGCTGTATTTGATTAGCAGTCTTGGCCAGTTGTGTTTTCAACTATTCCTGATTTGAATCTTTCGTTTTTTCCAACTTTTGCTCCTTTTATTTTCTTACTGCTGGTTGGACCTTTTATGCTGGTCCAATGCTTTTTTTTTAAGTGCTGGAAGCTTTTGGACAACTGAAACATATAAATGAATATTTTCTCTATTACTGTAATATTTTTTTTGCAGCATTCATATTTGAATAGTTCTCTACTCCCATAGAAAATCAAACAAGAAAAGGTGAATTTTCAAGTTATTGTAGTACCTCAAATTTACGAGAAATTATTGTGTGCGGAATCCGAATGCATTCGGATTCCAATCAGCGCATGCCACTCCGGTGCCCAGTGCATCCAGTGACGTGGCGCATCCGGATTCGTCTCCAAACGCATTCGGATTCTGCACACAATAATTTCTCCAAATTTACATGGCCCACTCATTTTCCCAGTTTGAGAACTATTGGTGCTTATTCATTAATTGAAGCTTTCGCACTCTTTTAAATGGGAATTGGTGGCTGGGGAGGAAAGGTAGAGAAAGTGAGATAGCCTGGAATGAATATTTCTTATATATGCAGGAGGCAGTTGAAGGCAAACATGGCAAGATCGCCGGTTAGTAGCCCACGCACTCCTAACAAGCTTAAGAAGTGTTGCAGCAACTGTACCATCTTATGAGCAACCAATCTTAAGCGGTTTTAGCAATTGGTAGCGTCCTCTTCCCATTCTGTTTCTAGTTCCTGTAACTAAATAAGTAGTTCTCGTATAGAATCTTAATCATCCACCTTATAAATCTTATTCGGGTACCCTTTCATTGTAGGAATAACTGAAATATAGTCGGAGGAAAGCAATGGATGTCTTAGTACTTGACGACAGATATAGCCAATCTGTACTGTATAGGAATTAAGAGTGTAAATAAGTTGATGAGCTGAAGGAGTGTTGCCCTCCTTAAGCTTTCTTTGCATTAGTTACAAAGCCTAACTGGGCTCAATGGAATTTTGTATCATGAAATGAAATTTTATATAGTTCATTTGTGGAAACATGCATTTTTGCGGCATTCGACATATAAATTTTTGAGCTTCTGAGGCGGGGTAGGGGATCTCATACCTATTTCATGCCATACTATAATGATTATTGTACACTTTAGAAAGGCCTTAGCAATGTCATATTGTCATGGGGCTATTTTATCCCTTAGCTATGGTACCTCCCAAAGGAGTTTTAAAGGACTGACCAAAGCTAGAGTTTATTAAGATTTCTTGAGGTTGAATCTTATTTATACGCTTTATAGGAGAATGAAATCTCAATAGCACACTTAGGCATTATTTGAGATGATTCTTAATATCTAACATGATTACAATCATAATTCAAAAATCAAACGGACATTAGAGGTTGAATGCTAACCTCTGTACCAAGTCTTTCCGTTGACCACCACTACTATGATTCTTAGTTCTTTTGAATCAACTCCTAAAGCTCTGAGTCTTCATTGGTTTTTAATCATCTTTATCAGATTGTCCTCATAATTCCCTATCATCAAAGCTTAGTAATCATTTGATCAACTATTAATGGATATGATCTAAGTTGATTAGATATTGTGCAAATACATTCACACTTTCATATATAGATACTTGGTACAAGTACACATCCTCTTGTGCCTATGTCAATAAATGCATATTTAATGGTGCAGATTTCCTTGAATATATTCAGGGATCAATCAGGACCCTTGATCAAGGATCATGCTCTTATTATACTCTTTTGAGTCTTTCAGATCCCATGCAGCAACTAATATTTCATGTAAGATCATAAGATAAACTTTTCATTGAGAGAGGGTATGACATTCACAAAAGACACCAAGATTTTTACGTGAAAAACCTCTGAAAATGGGGAAAAATCATGGGGCCTAGCCCAGTTTGAATAAATTCACTAGTATTTACAGTTAATTACAATTAAGGCCCTTCTTTAGAGGGAAGGCCTTGGCTTGATATACATCATATGAAGTACATTACTTGGTGGGAATATAAAGAGACGCTGTTGACGTATTCGCTTGGTCGGAAGGGCCATAGTTGGTGAGCGACGGAGGTTAGAAAGACTGTAGTCGGCAGGCGACGCAAGTTGGAAGGACCATAGTTTGCTGGCGACGGAGGTCATAAGGACCATTGTCATGTGACAGAGGTCGGAAGGACTGTAGTCAGTGGGCGACGCAAGTCAGAAGGATCGTAGTCGGTGGACGACAGAAGTCATAAAGACTGTTGTTTGACGACAGAGATATGAAGGACGACGTCAGGTAGAAGTCCCGCGATGGACAAAAGTCCAGCGTCAGATAGAAGTCCGACGAATGTCCGGGGATAGGTAGAAGTTCGACTTAGGGTAGGAATTAGGAGACGGGCAGAAGTCTGGTGTCGGATAGAAATCCAACAACGGGTAGAAGTCCAGCGTCGGGTAGAAATCCGGCGACGAGTTGAGGTCTGGCGTCGGTTAGAAGTCCGACATTAGTAAGCGGCCGGGTAGAACTCAGGCGTCAGATGACATTCGGGTAGAACTCCGGTGTCGGTATGCTTCCGGGTGAAAGTCCGGCGATGGTCGAGGAGTGTCTTCCTTCTCTTCCTTGCTTCCTTCTCTTCTCTTCTTGCTTGGGCCTCCTTCTTCTCCGCCTTTGGGGGTCCCTTGCTTAATTCTGGCATCATTTGACTGTCGGGTGAAAGTTCGACGGTGGTCGAGGAGGAGCTTATTCTTTCTCTTCCTTTTCTTTCTTCTCTTCTCCTCTTGCTTCGGTCCTCCTTTTCAAGAGAAATGAAGGGTCTATTTATAATTTTCTAAGAGTGGCATGACCAGTAAATAAGGAAGAGATCAGGGGCAAGTTCGGAGCGGTTTGAATGGACGGCCGATGTTGAATCTTTTGATCATAAACCATTTATTGGGCATTTGAATGTCTTAATGATATCAGAATTCGGCAATCTTAGGCTCGTTGGATTCGTCTCGTCGAGCCGCTCGATTCGAACACAAACATTTCATGTTTGAAAACTGTTTGATAATCCAAATTATGGTTTGAACTGTCCGAATGCACATCGAGTCTTTGATTTGGACTCATTTAGGCTCTCGGATTGAGTCGAATTTGATTTCGTTGGGTTCGTATTTCTGAGACGTGCAGTTCGACTATAAGTTTGCTGAAATCGGAGTTCAGATGATCCTGGAATTAATTTTTGAAATTTCCAACTTGATTTTACGTTGAGATTCGTGCTCGATCAAGATAATTTTTTGATGATATATCAATAAGTCTCATATATTCTTAACCAAACAGCAAGAGAATTATTGTAATAGATTATTAAAATTAGAACAACTAAACATAATTGCAGAAAAATACAATTAAGCAATCTGTAATGTTGTGAGTCCATTAATCATTTTGGGTATTATACTAAGCATCTATGGTTGAGTGATTCAATCATTAAGATTTGTTCATCAATAATCACTTAATGAAATATTAGTATTTTTAATTATCATTAAAATAAGCTCATCAACTTAATGGGATTATGGAGTCAATAATCTTTCCCTTGCTTTTTATGATCTCAAAATATTGTGATTATTTTCTTAGCTATAGTAATGATGCAAGATAACCTTCTCGAGTAATGTACAGCGTCTCTATGTTTTGTGAAGCTACATAATTTTATTTCATATTGAACTAATGTTAAAATAAATATCATTAATTATCCAAATTACTCCTAATTAATTGATCATTTTTAATTTTAATTTCTATTAAATAACCCGTTACTGGACAATTTAATTCAAAAAACTTACAAATTGATTGTTCTTGTTTTGAATTCAGCTCTTAAACTTAAAAAAATCACTTATTGCTATGAGGTTAGCAATAATTCATAATTTTCTATATATTTTGATTTATAAGTCTTTCTCTTTAACCACTTCTAAGAATAAGAAATATATATCATTATTTTGGAAGAGAAAAGGTTTAGAAAAATTCGAAGTTTATGAAAAACACGATCAAATATAATGGCTCGGATATGTAAAATATGTTCTAAATAGCTTTCGTTTGTTTAGTCTCTCTCTCTTTTATAATTAAGATTAATATTACAGCAATTTATAAATCAAAAACATGCATGAATCTGAACAAAAGCAGTAGACATCGACCTAATGATCTCCTATGGTAAGAATTAAATTTAGAATCCTCTCTCT